CCAGGTTTCCACTGGCACTTTCAGGATCAGCCTTTTCCCTGTGCCAAGCACGCAGTGCCCAGGAGCTTCCCAGGACAGCCCCGGTACCCGGCCGGGCTGGAGATGTCACCTCTCCTGCTGCTGGGGACACACCAGGACAGGCCTGGGGTGCTCCTGCCAAGGACCCATGAAGGAGAGGAGCCATCCAGCTTCCCAACACCTCCCCATCCTTCTGTTTCACCATCCTGGCTCCTCCATCCTCGGGCACGGCGGGTCCTGCTGGCCCCGGTCACCGAGCACAGCACCGCCAGCCGGGGCTCCCCGCTCCCTCCTCGCTCCCTCCCGGGGAAACCAAAGCTCTCTTCAAAGTTTCTCCTCGCTCGGCTGCCTCCGAGATCTGGGAACTCAACACTAATTAACGTGTCTGCAAATCCCAGCTCGTTCGCCGGGGCCTCCAATTCCTTCACGGTCCCGCGAGTGCAGAAGGATCCACGAGCGAGCCCTCTGGCTCCCGGAGCTACACGGCTGGCAGATGCATATTTTAACAACACACATCTGTTGGCAATATAATCTCTTGTATTTGCCCTCCCTGCTCCGAGCTTTGATGGAAGACCGGAGGGAACTCTCCTGTGGTTACAGCCAAAGTGTTTGCTTTGCAATTTCGCTCGATTGCTGCCTGATTTTATTTTTAAATTTCTCCAAGTCCTAATCAGGCTCTTACTTTATTTAATTAATACCCTGGCTTAGTTAAATAGATCATAAATTAAGCAGCCCTGCCATTAGAGATGTGCCAGGTAGCAAATAGCCCTCCAGTGGCTCCCCAGGACCTGCCTGGCTTGGGYTCCCCTGCCAAACTGCCTCGACATCCTTCACTTGCAGAAAATCTGGATGTCTCCATATGTCCAAATCCCATCCCATCAGCTTTAACAGCCTTCCCTGCTTGGGGCAGATGTCCTGAGACGGCTGGACAGTGACTCCTTCCCCAGAGAGTTTGGGCAATGGTGGGAGGGAAGGGAGGGAGACCCAGAGAAGGGGAAACCTCCAGCTTTGGGATGTATAAACCACATTTCCCAGCAATGTCTGTCCCTGGAACTCCACAAAGAAAAGGTTTTCCCTGATGCTGATGACATTAATAGGCTCRTCTCTTTGAATGTTTGGACTTCCAAGGCTATGGAATGATCTRTTCCACTACATTTAACCATGTAGATTTGAAAACAATGTGACAAAACCTTAAATATTTAATTAAAATATGGTGTAGCTCTGCATCTGAGCAGGGAAGTAGGAGGCATCAGCCCCATAMAGCTGTTGTCAGACATGAATGACAGCAGTTGGAGCCTGAATTGGGAGGCATTAGGGGATTTCCTGACACCAAGGAAGTGGAAAAGCTGGCAAGGAAAGACAAGCCAGCACCAGCTCATACAAAAAATCAGGCAGGGTTATTTTTCCAGAGACAAGGCTGGGGGTGATAGAGCGAGGTAGAGCTCCCCAGAAATGCCTTTAACACCCAGCTGGCTGAAGAGCTCCTTGAATTGCTGTGAAAACAGCAGCAGATTTTGGGCTCCAGCCACCAGAGCCTCAGAGCCACCAGASYCTGTCAGCTCTGGYCCAGCTGGGACAAATTATTCCCTTGGGAGCTGCATCCCAGATCCAGGGATGCCTTAGGGATCCTCTCCTGCCCATGTGAAATCTGCAGCCTCAGGTGAAGCTGGACAGACTGGGATGAAGAAACAGCTCCCAGGTATCTTCCTGTGTTGCAGAACAGGCACATCCCTTCCCATCCCAGCAAAATGAAATCTGGGAGATCCACATCCCTCTGGAGACAGCTGCTGAGCTCATGGCTGCAGCACTGGATCCTTGGGCAGAGATGTCTGCACAGCTGGCAGCACTGCACATCTGGAAGCACCAGAAATGTCTGTCCCCTGTACAGACACGGGTCACCCCTCTATGCAGACACGTGTCACCCCTCTGTTTAGCCCCGTGTCACCCCCTGTACAGACCCGTGTCACCCCCTGTACAGACCCGTGTCACCCCTCTGTTTAGCCCCGTGTCACCCCCTGTACAGACCCGTGTCACCCCCTGTACAGACCCGTGTCACCCCCCTGTAGAGACACGTGTCACCCCTCTGTACAGACCCGTGTCACCCCTCTGTACAGACACGTGTCACCACCCTGTACAGACCCGTGTCACCACCCTGTACAGCCCCGTGTCACCCCCTGTACAGACACGTGTCACCACCCTGTACAGCCCCGTGTCACCACCCTGTACAGCCCCGTGTCACCACCCTGTACAGACCCGTGTCACCACCCTGTACAGCCCCGTGTCACCCCCTGTACAGACACGTGTCACCCCCTGTACAGACGTGTCACCACCCTGTACAGCCCCGTGTCACCACCCTGTACAGACACGTGTCACCCCTCTGTACAGACATGTGTCACCCCCCCTGTACAGACACGTGTCACCCCCCTGTACAGACACGTGTCACCCCCTGTACAGACACGTGTCACCCCCTGTACAGACACGTGTCACCCCTCTGTACAGACACGTGTCACCCCCTGTACAGACACGTGTCACCCCCTGTACAGACACGTGTCACCCCTCTGTACAGACACGTGTCACCCCCCTGTGCAGACATGTGTCACTGCCCTGTAC